CCTTATTTACTCTCTTTTTGCCTTCCAATAGAGAAAACAACTCACCCCAAGCATGACAACTATGTAATGAACGAACTGCCAAAGCATCTTTATTACAGAAAACAGACTCTGAAAGCAGGCTCTAGAAAAGTTTGCCAAACCAGTGCCTCTAATTTTAATACATACTTGAGCACTATATCAGCTGAACAGTTACATACTTAGTATGTTAAATCTATAGCATACAAATGTAATAGAAAATCAGAGGACTTCAGGAAAAAATAGCTCTTTAATAAAATAATGTACTGCTATCACATTGTTTCAATCCAAATATGGCATGATAGTGCCATTCTAAAAATAAGTCCAAGTCCCATGTGATATGCAGCCTTTTAGCTATGTTCATTTCCTTTTAGGGCTCAAGTTTCCCACAGGAAAATTATTCAATGTTGGGCAAAACTGTCCCAAATCATGTATAGATAAGGCATAATGCTAACTGCACGGCCAACCTTTTCCTGCTTTGCTACTGCTGATTTGCCTGCACAGAAATCCGCCAGGGAGAGGCCAAGGAGCAGGAAATACTCAAGAACTGCTACATGACAAAAGTGAACACAGAAAGTATCATTTTGAGTTAAAAGGTAGTAGGGGAGGTAATTTATAAGTCAGTTAAATTAGAAGCCACAAAAGTATTACATGCTAAGTCACATTCCAAACAAATGTTTCTGATAACTGTAATGATTTTCAAATACTTATTTCAGTTGTAGTTTTAAATTATTGAGCAAAGTTGCATATTAAATGCTCTTAGTACAGCTTAATACAGATGGTATTGTTTGACATATCTGCTTAAAGATTTTATGAAGCATTATGTGCTAAAAATGAAAACTTCTCAAAATTACTCTCATAATATACCACACACACAATCAAGACCCACATCCCTCACGTTATATTTTTATATAGCCAAATAAATCAAATTATGATTTTTAAGAAAATGTTTGTTTTATAATGCTTAAGATACTCAGTTTTATTTTAAAAAGTTAGTTTCTTCTGAAAATAAGTCTTAAGTCAAATTTAAGTGTACTTATTAAGTAGCAAAAATATATAGCAACTCTAAATGGCTAGATATATTAAAATATGGCTTTATAATGTAGAGTTCCTTGTTCATATAACAGTTAACAAAACATAAAAATAAGAACCTGTGTTTAAATGTTATCGGTCACAAACATCTTCAGCAGTGTACTGTTGAATTGCATTTAGAATTCTGTAAGAGGTCTGTGTTCATATACATATCCACAGACTACAGGGATATGTTCCGGGTTTCAACCTTTATTTCCATTACATATTTTTATACAGCTTTCACACAGCTCTCAAGTTATGTTTCCTTGAGCCCCAATATATAAGAAAAATCAAGTGTGAGATTTTAATTTTTCTACTAAAGAACTAATCTTAAGAAACAATGATCAAGAAACACATATTTAAAAGCGACCTTATTTCATCATTAATGTATCAAGCTGTAGTTACTTAGATCTTTTTCCATTAACAATAACTTAAACACTATCAGCACCTAAGTATAATACCAACCAAATTCTCTTACTATCTATGTAGTAAAAGTCCTCCTGGTGTTCAATTCTTATGTTTTTCTATTCAAAATTCTTGAGAAGAAGCTACTTTAAAAGGCACTGGACAAGCAGTTATCTTAAATTTTATTTAAGCAAAAACTTCACCCGCTAATCTCACCAGCAGTACAAATACTACCAACACCAATGAAGCCATTCTAGAACCATCCATTCATATTTACTTCCCCTAGCAACATTTCTGAGGTGGGTGCTAGTGATCAAGAGAGCTAAGGTTTCGCAAAACTTATTTAAAGTACCAATGAAAGACTATTTTTACTTATTTTATTTAATATATACCCAAATCTAAACACTTTTCTTTTTTCCAATCCTGTTGGAAACTCCCATTTTCTAAGTACTTGACAAATGTTGAACAATCTTTTGGACTTATTTCGGTGGCATGACTGAGTCTAAGGGAGGTATAAGACCTGGATTCTAGTCCCAGTTCTTTGACTAATGAACTTTGTCACTATTCTGGGTTTCTCTTTTCCCATCCGTGAAAGGGGAGCCTATATTATGACCTTTAAGTGATCTTCTAGGTACGTCACTTTGGGATTCTATATTTGTCATTTACATACTCAAATATCTTAAGCCCATCTCCAGTTCCTAATTAGAATCAAAGCCCTTAGCATTTATGCCAGACTAGGGAGGCCCAGTTTATCTTCTGACCTTACTCTCCGTTGTACCTCAACTTGAAACCTCCGGTTCATCCAAGCTGCCCTGCTTACTAGGAAGACAGAGTAGCACCAGATAACATGGAAGGAATGTTCCCCGAGGGCCAAGCACAGTGCCAAGAGCTTTACTATAACTGTAACAGCACCTGATCTTGGACTGATTCCTGCAATGTTGGCGCCATCTTCACTTAAAGATGAGTACCCTTCTGAAGTTCAGATAGACTGAGATTACCCAATAAACCACCGGAAGTAGGATCTATTTTTTTTTTTAACTTTATTTCCAGTGCTCTGTAGGGTATAACACACATCATCAGTACAATAATGTTAACAATACACGATGTTAACATAATCTAAGTAGAAATGGTTCTAATCCTTACATCTATCGTGTCATGAAGGAGAACTTTTAAAAATGAAAAAGTCTTTTGAATCAGATTCTACTCCCCAAGGGTCAATGAAGACAGAGACCCACAAATCCTTCTCTTTGGTTTAGCTATAAATAAACGGCTTTGGCAGTGGGGATTTCCCATGCCTTTCTGGAAGAAATTTCAGAAATAAATCATACTATTCAATACTATAACTTTTGCTTTCTACCCAAAATACTGTCTTATTCAACAAGTATTTGTTGAAAGCTAGTAAATGGAATTTAAAGTTTTACTTTGAAAAGACTTTACTTCTGTATTTTGTTCAAACCAATACAATCTTTGGTAACAAAACCAGTAAGTAAATCTTTCATTAAGTGACTACCATGTTAAATATCATGGTAATTTAACGTAAGTATGTGCTTTTGTACTTTGCAAAGGGCTTTCTCATGTTATATATTGTTTGATAATTATAGGTCACTTTATTAGGTCTTTTGTCTATTGATCCTTTGGATTTCCTTAATCCTGTCCAGCTGGATAATTTATGTCAATCTCATTCAAGCAGTAGGGGGAGATAAGACTACAGAATCCTACTTACCCACAGCTTAGCCCACTTCATAAACTGCTTTCTAAGGAAATCAATCTAACACAGTACTTTGTATTCCTATGCCTGTCTTCTCTTGGCAAAAAACAAAGTTTTAAAATCTAAAAAGATCAAAACATATACCTACGAGGCATAGTGACATAGTGGGTTTGGAATCAAAAAGGTCTTACAGCCCCAATTCTTCCCCTACAAACCTGACAGATTGTAAATTCCTCCCAATTATTTTTTACGAAAGATATAACTCCTAGTGCCCTCCCTCTGTCTGCTCCCATGTGGACTAGGTGCTTTCTAGGACTGCTGCACACCTGACTTCCTCGGGCTTTCCTTCCCTGTCACTGTGGGAAGTCTCTTCACCTCTCTCCTGTGTTGGAATAGTCCTGGTATCCTGGCTTCCATATCTTCTTGATTTCGTCTCTCATTCTGGGGAAGCATGCACTTCAGTAACTTTCTGAGAAAGTATGTAAGGCAGGTAAATATTCTGAGACCCTGTGTATCTCAAAATGGATTTATTTTACTCTCACACTTTAATGAAAAGTTTGAAACTCTAAGTGAAAACACACTGTGCACAATTTTGAAGTTATTCCTCACTGCTGTCCTCCTTTGAGGTGAAAGTCCAATGCTCTTCAGACCCCTGTGACTAAGTATGTTTCTCTCCCTCATCCCGACTCCACACCAAGATGCTTTTAGGATTTTTCTTTATAACCAGTGTTCTGAAATTTTATGATTTGCCACCAAAGTCTTTTTATTACATTAAGCTGGTCCTTTTCATTGTGAAAACTCATATTCTTCGGTTCTTGTGATTCTTCTTTGAGAATTTCCTTTCTTTTTCTCTCTTCTGTTTCTAAAAATCATGCTAGTTAGATATTGAGCCTCCTTGATTGAGCCTCTAATTTGTCTTGCTTTCTGTCTACTGTCTTTTGTTTCGCTATCTGGACCACTTCAATTTTATCTCCCAACTTTTGTGATTTTTAAATAGCGTGATTGTACTTTAAATCTCAAGTGCTCTTTGTCATTATCTTTGTTTTTTATGCCATCCTAGTCTCTTTTAATGGATGCAAAAGCTCTGAAAATGTTAGTTGAATTTTTTTTTGAAGTTGTCTTCTGTGACTTGCACTGTTTCTATTTCCCCTAATTTCTTTTGTTCTGGGCTCTGTACTTTATGTAAGATTTTCTCAAAAGACCAGTGGTCTCTGGCCGACTGTTAATATTAAAAGTGAAGGAAAGCCCGGCCAGTGTGGCTCAGTGGTTGAGCACCAACCTAGGATCGATCATAGTTCGATTCTTGGTCAGGGCACAATCCTGGGTTGTGGGCTCGATCCCCAGTAGGGGGCGTGCAGGGGGCAGCCGATCAATGACTCTCTCTGTCATTGATGTTTCTATCTCTTTCTCTCCTTCCTTCCACTCTCTAAAATCAATAAAGACATTAAAAAAAAAAAAGTGGAGTAAAAAACGAATTAATAACAGTAACCCAGATTTTCTGATTCTCAGTTCAAAGTTCATTTTAAGCCATATTATGATGCTTTTTGTCTCAAATTCTGAAGAAAAGCCAAATGACTTATTTACAGCCATAAAAATGGTCTAGAATATTCCCAGGGTTTGCAAAATATATTAATAATATGTATAGTTAATATATAATATTTAGTTTTTCAACCTAAAATGGAAAAATTATGCAAAAATCAACACAGACTGATTTTAATGAAGCATTTTAACAACTCTCATAGTGCCACAATTCCCCCATCCTTAAACTTCCCAAAATCTGCTCATATAACAATAAGTTTTAGTTTGCCAATAATTTATTTAATAAATCTTTTATGATACAAAAACACATAGTGAAATTAAAACATTTCCTACAAAACCACTGTGCAGACTTTTAAATCAAACCTGAAAAGCTTATTAGAAAGCTCTCAAAAACCACTCTATTATCTGAGAGCATACGACCTTGTTGCTTTATCTTCAAGTTGAAAGAGGTGGACAAAGCATTTATAGCACAAAAATTCAAGTTTTTCCAATCCTTAAAACACTGTGAATATGATTCAAGTAAAAAGGAAACGCCACTGTAAAAGGCTCAAAAAGGAATTTATCCAGCAGTAAACCCTAAAGAAAGCCCTTTCCAAAATGGAACTTAGGGTGATTCGATAGGCCCACGAAAAATTCAAATATCCATTCTGGCGTAAGGCAGTTCTTTCATCACAGGGGAGCACTTGTTCTTTTGTAATTGCTTTTCTGCTCTAAGGGAAAAAATATACTTCCACTGAAATAAATCACTCTATAAAAACCACACAACTAATTTACAAATACAACAATTAGTATGATCTTATTTTAAAATATACTATGTAATAATTTCAACACAATCACCAAAAGCTCATGCTGCCTCTGATATCAGTCATATACCATATAAAGTTAAACATGCTGTCTTGCCAAAGCCCAAGGTAACTGAGTCTAAAAATATACTTTTTTCTCATTCTGAACTAGTTAGATTGGTATTTAACCCAAACGTCATCAAATGATGCATTAAATATGGCAGGAGGAAAAGATTACTTAAATATAAACTCTCCAAACGTATCACACAAAAACTGCCTCCAGCCACAGAAGACTGTATGAGTGTATTCAAGCATGTCCCCTTTCCCCAACATACACACATACTCATGGGAAAATAAAAATAAAAAAGCAATATAGACAATGAACGTGGGAATAGAACTGATACCTGGAAGAAGAAATCTTAGAGTTTATACAGACAGTCCAATGAAGAAAAGGTAAACTGGAAAAAATCTGACTTTAAGCAAGTGTCAGTCGGTGAGGGGTTTGGGAGCTTTATTTTTCTTTAAATTACTCAATCTACTTAGTTTCTACTTTAGTTTTAGACTGAGACAGTGATAACATTTCTAATGTAAAAAACCACCACTCTCTAATAACATCTAAATTTGGTATTAAAACAAAAATGCAAAAATCTATTAACAAAAGTTCTTATTCTGAGCTGTCATTCCAGTCACTAAAAGACCAGCATGACTAGCCATTTCCAGGAAATTAAACAGAAATTTTCTCTTTTCCATTCTCACAAAATGGAACCCTATTGGAGGGAAAGATTAAAAGGCTCTCAGCCACCCCAAAAGTAAAATCTACTGATTTAACATCAATTTTCTACAAAAATCAAATCTTTAAAATTCCCATATCTGCATAACTAAAAATTCTCAAGCAAACAGTGCAAATTTGAACAGGTTACATTCCCCAGCATACATGAAAAAAAAAAAAAGTTTTTTTAGAACTGTGCTCCTTAAAGAAGAAATGTGTACAACTGTTTTTCAGAACACAACAGAAAAGGTTTTCCACTTGACATGGCAATTTAAAGACATTGTTAACTTGTAATTTGAATATGAATTCTAAATTTTGAAACAACTTAGAATCAAAATTTTTAATACTAAATATGAAGAGCAAGCAAGTTTAGGGGAAGTACTCAGAATCTCAAGTTTAAATTTTATAGATTACTCAATCACTTAAAATAAAAAAGTTTTAACAGAACACATTTGAAGTTAAAATCAAATCGATATCTAAAACCTAAAATCATACAACTGCCCTCTATTTTAAAAGGGGTAGGAAGTTTCCTCATATCATGAAGGAAAACCAAAGCATATCTGCCTACTTTATAAATACCCATATCCTTTCTTGGATTAAAAAATCTACTTTCACCCACATCCCTTGGGTTCCTCCATCTCCCATCTCACTGAACATCACCGTCACATTCAGATGACAACTGCTAGCCAAAGGCACGTAAGTCCCCTGAATACTTCCAAAACATTAAAACTAGTAAAACGGAGGGGAAATACTCTCATGCCTGGAGCTGCTGGGAAATCCTTTTATCCTCTTAGAAAATAAACCTCTTGTCTAAAGATAATCACTTAAGAACAAAACATCACTACTACATACAAATGCACAGGATTCTCAATAATTCTATAGAATAAAATCCTATAGATTTTGCTAGTACTTTGGTTTAAAAAGGGAAAAAAAGGCTATTAAGGAAAGAACTGTATCCCAAAAGAGAACAATAAGAGACATAAATCAGAATTTCTCCTCTTATACAAAAGTGGGTTCCTTTACACTAACTAAAAGAATGCTTTGAAAAAGAATTAGTTGCTATTTTATTAGTTGATTCCATTTAATCACAAAGAGAACATCTCAATTAATCCCCTTCTATTTTAAAAACAAACTAGTTAAATGTACATTTTACTGTAAAGATGAAATCTAACTGAATTCAAACATTCTCCGTACACACATACACAAAGGCACAGGCAAAAATACTGCAACAGAATCCCTTTCTATGCACACATTTCTTTAGATCTCCACAAAGCATGGCACGAAAAGTAGCCACGTTTCAGTTCTCCACAAACTGTCTAGTATTTCACTGCATTCAGCGACATGGCTCACTGCAGAATTCTCAAGTTAGTATTTACGTGTTCACATAATTCACTGTACTGAGAATGCTCTCAGGAGAGGAAGACAAACATCTGGATTTCTAAGTGACAGTACTGAAACTTGCAGTGTTACACTTTGGCATACATAAACAAAACTTTAAAATCCTGTTAATGAATTAGTATATTTTAATATTCCTGTTAAATAAATCAATTGCATATGAAGCCCAAACAATCGGAAAGAACCCAGAAAAGCAACATAAAAACAAAGACTTTTTAAAATGCTGACGCGCTTCACAGCCCGCTTCAGTCATGCCAGCCGGAGGGAGAGGTGTGAGATTCGACTTTATTCATCTTAAATCTGAGAACTGTCGTCATCGCCATGCATTACAAAATGTGGAACCAAGAGCAATTTATCTTCACAGTCCTGATTCTTCTGATTTAAAAGCACTTTGTGAAAAAAATCATTTCTGCAAACTTAGGTTTTTTTGGATGGATCATTTGTTTCCTATTGCTTAGAGTCAAATGATTTTGTCCCAGATTTTCTAGTGAACAAGGAATACAGAGAGAGAAAAAGGACACCCCTCCCGACACACACACACACACACAATGACCCAATATGAACCACTTCAGACATGGCATCCATTAAGAGGGCCTTTGCTCCTAACTGTGTAAGGGTCCTTAGCTATGACCTGACTTGCACAAGAAGTACACATGGCCCCTGAGAGGCGCTTTAGTCCCCTTTGGAAGACACTGTTGGAGAGACTATAAATGACACAGTTGCAGAAACTGTTACTAATAGCAAGCCAGGTGGTCAAGAAGGATGCGAAGCGGTTGCTGTGGCCAGTGGAGCTCTCCAACAAGAAGTAGATGATGTACGGCAACCAGAGGATGTAAAACACACTAGTAATCCGGAACAGGACCATGGCATACCGCTTGTCAGGACAGGCCTGCACCTCCCCAGTCTCCCCGCTCTGGCTGCTGAACCGAGCTTGCCTTTCGCTGATTTCCTTTGTGTGCTGTTGGCAGATGCGGAAGATGTTGAAATAGGTGAAGCACACAATGAGGGCTGCTGGGGCATATAACATCATCACGATGAACAGGGTGAAGTAGGGGTCGGTGTGCCAGGACTCCGCACACCACTGAAACACATCTCCATGATATCCAGGTTTCCCCCAGTGGAAAAAGGAAGGCAGAAAGACCAGGGTGGAATACAGCCAAATCAGGAAAATACACAGGCGTAGTCTCCAGGGTGTAACCAGGGTGTTATAGATTAAAGGTTTAGTGATGGCAATATATCTATCGATGCTGATACAGGCCAGAGAGGTCATGGAGACACTCTTCAGAACTGATACTATAAAACCAAACACCTGGCAAGTCAAGGACTCCTCTACTGGAAGCGGGTAGTGGAGGAGTGATAAAGAAGGAACCAGGCAGCTGACCCCAACCAAGAGGTCAGCATACGCCATAGTCTGGATAAAATAACTTGTAGTGTGGTGGTTCAACAAAGGTGCACAGTGAAATACAAAAATCACAATAATATTGCCAGAAATAATCAATACAGTTAGAAACACAATAATCAACACTTCCAAAAGGCAAAGATCAACAGTTTCCAAATAGCCAAATGCCAAGAGGCAAAAAGGGTGGCTGCTCTGATTACCATCCGAGGTGGAGTTCATCTTGAGCTTACGAGTGATCTCTCACTTCATGCTGCCGCTTGGCCACTGCCAACAGTTCAAAGGAGCAGCTGCTGTCATTGCGGTCAGCTCTGTGTGTTTGTAATAATGCCCAAGGAGCCTCAGTCCCCAGGCTCGCGATGCTGCTGCTCTGATGCATTGCCTGCAGTGCAGTCACCCTTTAAGTCCTTGGAATAGGGAGAGCCAGCAGCAGCAGTCTGGCCAGTCCCAGATGCGGCCACAGTATCAGGTTTACGGTACACATAGTGCCAGGAGAGTAAGGCAAATTCTGGGTACAATGTCTTCAGGTCAATGAGGGTATGGGGTAGGGGCAGAAGAGAAGGGAAGAAAATTAGGAGCTTCAGCAGGAGTTGTAATGAGTCTCCTCTGAACAGCTGATAGAAGAAAAGGAGAGAGCATTTTATATTTTGCATACCAATACAAAAATCAAAGAATCTGGCTAGTTTAGGCTGGTATCATCCCTCTCACTCCATCCCACTCCACCCAGTACTACCCTCAGTAGCACCCCACATAACTAATCAGTCCTCACTCTAGAGGAGGCGCAGCAACAGCAAGCTTTCATGATCAACATAAAACAAAATCAATGGCAGTCAGATCAATCTACCCCCATTTTCCCTTCACTGGAGCCTTTTGGGGGAGAAAAGGTAATCTGCTTATTGCATTTCTGAAAACATTTTACCATAATTACCATGAATAAAATTAGCTAAAATAACTTATTTTCTTGATTCCTGTGTAATATCTTGCCTCTTTGAAACATTTCAACAGAATTTATCTGTCTAGCTCAATTTCAGAGCATTACCTGTAATTCTGCATGCTGCAATCCAAACAAAAGCCACAAAACATCCTTAACAGAAAGCCTTGCAAAGCAGGAATGTGCCTCAGCCGGGTTTACTGCAGAACCGACACACAGAGGGAGGGGATAAAGGAGTAGGAGGGAAAACAGGGAGAGGGGGGCTTGGGAAAGGGAAGCAGCGGGGGAGGGGAGAGAAAATGCCTGTGCAGGCACACACACTGGTGTGGCGTCTTCAGCAGCTCATTCGGATTCATCACCAGAGAGGCGCTCCCTGATTTCCAGACGGCACAATGGGGGAATAACCGAACATGCCTGCAGTACAGTGTTTCAAAGCTGTTTCCTCGTCTGTCTGGAATCCCCCCTTTTGGTAGATGAACAGAACGCAAACTGCTAATAAGGAGAAGAGGTAGTAACCGGAACAGAGTGCCAGCGGGGAATTAGGCTGAAACACACTGCCAGAGGGGTAATGCTGAGAGGAAATTCCTATTTTCTTGTAGCTCTTTCCCAAGGAACTAAGAGCAATGTTAAAGAATGAAAATGAATTAACAGTGCATAGCAACTGAGGAATCGTAATTCAGCAGCACAAGAATTTCTAGCTAAAACGTTAAATACTCAGCATTAATTTTCCCTTGTGATTCACTGGGTGTTAATCAATATTAAGAAAGATGATGAAAACAACAAGCAAATTTAAAAATCAGTTTTTCAAGACGAAAATAAAGAGAACCTCACCCATTCTGAATACTGCATAGTGTACACACAGAAGAGGAATTACATTCTTCCTGTATTTAACACTATCCCATAGTTTTGAGATGCCATGTCTCACTTCTAGTTTGCTGAGACTCAGTACACAAACATTTAACAAAAGATGGAAAAGTAAAGGTACCATTTCCACCAGGCTTGAAAATTACAGGAAGTTGCATGGTATCAATCAGCCTTTGTATCACAGAATACAGAATCTTATTTGTGCCTAATTAAAACAATGCAAAGTGGAATTTTCTTGTGGCTGTTCTGGTAATGTTCTAAGTGATGACAATTTTCAGATGATTAGAAAATGTGTTTTTAGTGTCTTTTCTTCCAGGTGTCTTTGGATTTTCAATTCATCCTTCTAAACAAAGTTCTACAGACCCAGTAGAGTAAAAGAAAATAAACAAATGTTGGTATTTGTAAGCATTCCAGGTCTGCACACCTGGATTACACCTTGTAGCACTTTCCCAAGGAACGAAGAGCAATGTTAAAGAATCTCCAGATATACGCATTTTTTATTTGTTTCACACGCATGCTTTCTCATTGCAGGCAAATGGCCATTCATAATCAGAACTCAATTAATTACATGTTAAGGTCTGAAGCACTACAATTATACAAAGGATAGAAACTCAGAAGCATACTGAGAATAAGTCTGACAGCCATATTTAACAGGTCTTACTGGAAAATGTGGCAAAGTGTGGCAACGTAAAAAGACCAGTGGCAAATAAGCCTCTCTTATTTTTTCCCAACATTTTAGGTACTCAAGAATGAAACTTAGAAATCATCTTGACCACTCTCACCCTCAATGTACTGTTCCTAGACACCATTTCCTAGAAATCTATTTCTACAACAGCTCTCAAATTCACTTCCTCTTCAGTTTTTAATACTTTACTATAGGCCATCATTAAATACCATCTAGACTTCTAGTCTGATTCATTTTTCTAACATATTTATTTCTGCCTGATTAAATATCCAGTACCACATACTTTATTATGGTACTCCACCGTTCAAGAAGAGTCAATGGCTCTCTATTGCTTTTCCAATCTGATACCACTATTCCACATCCCCTCAAACACTTGCCCTCCAGCCAAACTATTTGTTATAGACTGTATTTTTGAATCCCAATTTTGAGTGCTTAATAAATATTAAATGAAAATAAGGAATTATTTCTGAGAGTTACAGTTCAATAAATAGAGAAAGCATTTGCCAAACTCAGGAGTTCAGGCTTTTCCAACTCCTTGTGAATTTGGGCATGTAACTTATTGTCTTTATATCCCAGGTTACTCATGTTTAGAACTAGATAGTTATGCCAATAAAAATATAATTGGCTGATATCTTGAGGTAATGAAATAAAAACGCAATAAAACTACAAGCTGTTATATTACTATCATTAGTAAAATAATAGGTCTTCCAAGTGTGTTTTTATTTTAGTAAAACCACTCTTGGAGGTGTGATCAAAATATTCATATAGAAAACTGAGAGAGAGAAAAAAAACCTGACAGCCACACTTTATCAAATCTAGTCAAGAGTTAAATGTTTTGTTTTGAAGAAAAACATTTTCTTCAGAAGAGACAAATTATTATTTAAATGGGGGCAATAAATCTATGTCCTCACAAAAATCTATACATTCATTTCCTTTTTAAAATAATGCAGGCTCATGATGTATTTGATTTTTATAAAAGAGAGAATAACCATTATGCATATATATGACTGGAAGGCAACACATTAAAATTCAACTCCACTTTTCACTGATGGTTGGATTACAAGTGATTTTTTTCCTTCTTCTTTATGGTTTTCCTTATTTTATGAATATCCCAATTTCTATGTACTATTTCTATGTATTATTTAATTGGGTTTTAAAAAAACACAGGCAAAATAATATGTAACATGTCCTTAACAAAAAAGCCAGGCCGCAAACTGGGAGGACCCAGGGCCTCAACTAAATGGATAATGGCAGATTAAGTCACCTGCCTCCTGGGGCTCAGTTCTCATGTCATCACAACAACATTCCTTAAGACAGTCATTGGTACCCAATTTAACTCAAAATGAACCCTCAGAGCCCCAGTTAAAAGTTCTTACAGAATGAGACTATAACTGATGAAACTGCCAATATTTAACCATTTCCTGTTAAATATTCTACTCTATCAACAAATTAAGGCAAATCACATTAAGTGCTGAATAAACTTGACGAAATTCAGTAGACATTCCTAATAAAAACTCAAAGCCAGAGATAGAAGAAAATCACTTAAGTAAAATAAAAAGTTATTTACCAAAAAAAAAAAAAAACTGAACAGGATGCTATACAAAAGACTGAAAAATAAAAACCATTTTAATTAAAATCAGGAACTCGATAGAGGTGCTAGTTATGACTACCATCCTTTAACACTGTCTTAATGCTTCTATCTAATACAAAAGCAAAGCCAAACAATTTAGTAGCTTACATAAACAGTGAAAAATAAGTGAAACTGGCTCTGGCCAGTGTGGGTCAGTGATTAGAGCATCGGTCTGCGCACTGGAGGGTCCAGGGTTCGATCCCTGGTCAAGGGCATGTAATTGGGTTGCAGGTTCAATCCCTTGCCCTGATCGGGTGCGCACAGGAGGCAACCAATCAATATCTTTCTCTCACACATCGATGTGTCTCTCTCTCTCCCCCTCTCCCTCTCCCCTTCCCTTCCACTCTCTCTGGGGAAAAAAAAAAAAAAAAAAAAAATCAATGGAAAAAAATATACTCCAGTGAGGATTAACAAAGCAAAGAAAACAAAGAAGTGAAACTGTTTTTGCCATGATACTAATGTATACCTGAAAATCAAAAGATGCTAGTATAAAATTAGAAGGACTAATCAAAATATCAAGAGGTATATGGGTAGAGAATTCCTTATGTAACCTTATAGGGGAGTTGAGGGGGTAAAATTAAAGAAAATAATTCTAAGGATTATATGGAAAGTTAAATATGCAAGAAGAGATAAAGAGCCCGGCCAGTGTGGCTTAGTAGCTGAGCATTCACCCATGAACCAGGAGGTCATGGTTCGATTCCCGGTCAGGGCACATGCCCGGGTTGCAGGCTCGATCCCCAATAGGGGGCCTGCAGGAGGCAGCATATCAATGATATTCTCTCTCTCTCTCTCTCTTTCCCTCCCTTCCTCTCTGAAATCAATAAAAACATATTTAAAAAAATAGATAAGAAAAATATGAAATAAAAAAGTGAAAAAATATTTGCTTTACCAAATATTTGCAATATAGCTCAAAACCACTTTAACCAAAACAGTAATGGTATAGAAACACACAAACAGATTAATAAACAGAACAATCTAGAAATCAATCCCACTACATATGAGAATTTAAGATATGACAAAGATGGTAGTTCTAGGAAAATAGGAGTGGCACACCTGGTTATCCATCTGGGAGAAAGTAAAATTGGACCACCATCATATGCCATATACAAAAATAAATTCCAGATGAACTAAAGATGTAAAGATATAACACACACAATAAAAACCTTGCAAGAAAATCTTGGAAACTACATTTACAAAATCTAAAGATATGAGAGACCTTAATCAAGGCATAATTTTCTACATAAAAACTGGAAAATGTTTGTATTTATGGCATGAAACCATAAATAAAGTCAATAAAAAAATAAAGTTTTAGGAAGATATTTATAATAAAGATACAAAGGATTAATGTACATAATACATAGAGAGTGCTCACAAAATGACATTTATAAAAACTTAATAGAAAAATGTACAAAAAATTTGAGGACGTAATACATGTACATGGAAGAGCAAATCACTAAAATTTACTGGTAGTCAGGGAGCTGCTAACTAAAGATACGTGGGCATCACTCACACCCATTGACAGCAAAAATTAAGTACAGTGATAACTGTTTGGAGTATGGATCAACACATACTTTCCTATGTTGCTGGTGGAACTGTGAACTATTACAGCCTTTCTGAGAAGCAAACAGGATATAAGTAAATTAAATATAAAACTTGAATAACCAGTTTAAAAAGTACATTACCCTTTGATCCAGCAATCATACTTCTGAGACTGTTCCATGAAAGTAAAAGATTTCGAACACGTGTAAGGATGTTTAGCAAAACACTATTCAGAAGCTAAAAACTAGAAACAACGTAAATACTTACCAACAGAAGAATGGCTGAATAAGCTATGCTTAAACACAAACAGATAAGCATATAATCACATTTGTTTAAATGAAATTCTGTATGAGTACATATGTGTACAAAGAAATTATTATTTATGTTCAAGGACAGACAGATAAGAAGGGTAATGAAAAAGAATCAGCTCTGGAGTCCTTCCTCAGTTCAAATCCTGCCTATATAATTTATTCCCTCTCATTTATTTATTAGCCAAGTGACTATGAGCAAATTACTAAGCTTCACTGAATCCATTTCTTCATTTCTAAAACAGAAACAGTAATTAACAACTCACAAGAATTTTCTTAGGATTAATGAGATAATGGATATGAAGTGCTCAGCACAGCACCAGGCACATATTATGGGCTCTAAACTGGGCAGTTGTTATATTTTTCCCCTCTTGAGATGAAAAACCTAAAAAGTTTTCACTTAAAAAAACACCAAAAAACAGGAAGACGAGTACCTCCAAACTCCACTGCTTATAACAATAAGAAATACCTTAAAAATATATATATACCTATGTCTATTACTGAATGGTCTCTTGTCCCTGGATTACAAAAACCCCATGGCAAAATTCATACATATATCCTTACAAGACAGGCTTAACAATTAAAGTAAGATGAACAAAGGCTTCATCAGTTTTGTTTGCAAGTTAATTTCTTTTGTCCTTCACTCTATAAATCAAGTAACTCTTTTCTCCTCCTTTAAATTTAGTCTTTGAAGAGGTAGGCCAAAAAACTCTCCAAGGTAATTTTATATGCGAAATTTCAGAACATAAAGCATGTATTTGGCAAAGAACCCAAGTCCAGAATAAATAACTTCTGAAAATTAGTAATATGTATACGTATGTAAATATTATTGTCTATATAGATATATAATAGTATGTACAAATCCTGCTGTCTTGGTCTGTGCTGCTATAACAAAATACCACAGACTAGATGATTTATAAACAGCAGGAATTTATTGCTCACAGTTCTGGAGGCTGCGTTCCTGTGAAGGCCCTCTGGGTTGCAGGCTGCCAACTTCCTGCTGTGTCCTCACATGGTGGAAGGTGGCAAGGGGTCTTTTGGAGCCTCTTTTATAAAGGCGTTAATCCCTATCATGGGGGCTCTGCCCTCATGACCTACTCGCCTCCCAAAGGCCCTACTTCCTAATATCATCACCGTGGAGGTTAGGTTTCAACATATGAATTTTGAGACGAGACATACATTCAGGACATAGAACCTCCTATATGCAAGAATGTTCATAAGCAACTTTCCTCATAATAGTAAAAAATGAGGGGGGGGACCCCACAAACATCTATAATAGCAAAATAGATTTTTTTTTTTAAGTGTGATTTACTGATGCAATGGAATACTTCCAGCAACTTAAAAAAATGAAAACAAACGAAAAAAAGAACTATGGTACACTCCCAAAATGGATGAGCAAAAAAAGCAGTCAGGTTCAGACAAGTAGATGCTGCATGCCTATATGATTGCATTTAAAGCATTACCAACTTGCATCAAATAACACTGTAGTGTAAAACAATAAAAAAAGTTTTCACCAATATTATGGTGGTTAAATTGTATTTTCTGATCATCTACCAGCAATTTAAATTAACGTATATGTCATTAGAGATCTTTTTAGGTTCCAGCCTTGTGCATGATAAAAATTTAATGTGATATATGACATTAGCGTATATAAAACAATCAAATACATCAGACTTTGTGAATAACTGATGTTTTGCATGTCACATGACTATCAAGTTCCTATTTAAGTTCACCATTCTCATGGAACCAGAAAAATAGAATATTTCATATCTTTAAAATTATTTGTATGAACAGCCACACCAAAAATATTTAAGAAATAATTTTTGGCCAAACATTTCAAAGGACTTCAAAACTAGAAAAATAGTTACAACTGAGAATTATACATCCAAAATATGACTTTCCAATAAAGAAAAAAAATCAACTAGATGTAATTTTGCTGGCTCTACATGTTACATACCCTTATTCACCATTCACACTACAAGCACAATGCTCTTCCATCCTTTCGGGCCTGGGAAGGAATCCATCTTAAATGGGACGTTCCTGATAAAGACTCTTCTATTCTCCCAGGCTGAATTTATGACTACTTTTAATGGTTCCGACTGTGCTTTTTCAGACTATCATCTGACATTTGTCTGTAATTGCTCTGTGTTTGGCCTCCTAGCTCCAGCATTATGGTTGTAATACAGGCACTCAATAGATGCTGGTTAAACAACTATGTCAACATAATGGAGGGAATCAGAATATTAATTCTTGAAAGAAAAAACATCTATCTAGAAATAAGATGATGAGAAAGAACATTAATATTTTGAGCAAATCAGTATCATTTTCTGGTGTGGAAAGATCCAATTTCATGTTCAAATGCTGTTCTTCCCGTATAAAGCTTTTTAAATAAAAATTTTATAGAGGTATTATTCATCTCTTATAAGGTGTTAATAATTTTTTTTTTTTTTTAATTCTCACCGAAGGACATTTTTTCCATTGATTTGGGGGGGAGGGGAGAGAAACAGCGATGTGAGAGAGACACATCAATCGGTGACCTCCCGCACACACCCCAACCGGGGCACAAACCTGCAACCGTGGTACATGCCCTTGACTAGGAATCAAACTCTTGACCCTTTCGGTGCGAGGACCAACACTCTACAACTGAGCTACACCAGCCAGGGAAAGGTGTTAATACATTTTTAAAAAGAAGTCCCACTTCTGTCACACTGAAAAATTCTCATACAATATTGAGAGTTCTGAGAAATTCATTCATAACCCAGGTTTGGGACTTGTATAGCACTGGAGAAACTGCTTCCTAAATATAAACATTTCAAGAATTTGAGGAAAAAACAAAAACTAAAACCAGTAACATGGTTACAAACGCACAAAACATTGCCTAACCCTGCAGAAAATTATTTTTCAAATTCTTGTATGCCTGTACAAGAAACAGTTTTTGTTACTTCACTTGCAAAACCTTGAGGAACACATGAACTTGACAAAGGGATACTACAGAAAATGAGAATTCTTCACTTCAGAGAAATAAGCTAAAAGGAAATCTGGTTTAAGATAACAGAACTGTTCTTCCAATGACAGAAACTAGCAGTAGGCCTTAACTACAAATAGTACATTTCTGTAACACGTGAATAGGATTAAAATAAACAAAAGAACGTTTGTATACAATGCATAGCACAACTGACCTAACTAAAAATGCAATGGAAAGCAATCATGGTAAGAAAGGATCTGGGTACACGGTGGGTAGAGGACATCCTTTCCCAGAGGTGAAGTCAAATCAAGGAAGAGAGCCTCTCCTCCTTTATTCCAACACTAGAAATAACTTTGGGCTAGAAGTGTAAGTTCT